TATGTATTTTTCAAATTTTATAATGATTTTTTCTTGATTAGAATATAGATCATATTCATCAACTGCATGAAACTGAATTTCACATTCACCAATATTAATTTCGCTTGTAATTGGAATATAATATTCAACTTTTTGGGCTGTTTTATTATGAAGACTAATGTTAACAAGATTTCCGATTGTGTGATTGAGATCGTGATAAATACTAATATTGCTATTTCCATCAATATCTAAAACATTAAGAACGAATTTAATAAAATTATCCCTGTTAATATAAACAGGTAATGATGGTCCTTCGATAATTTTAATTTCTGGCTTGTTATACTCGTAATTGAATTCTGTATTGTCTGAAACACAACAACCATGATTATCACAACATACTATGGAAATACGATGTTTTCCTTGTGAAAGATTATCTGGAATAGAAATATCGATACTGAATGGACTATCTGCTGATATTGGCATATAATTGTCTGAATTTCCGTCAATACTATAGGTAAAACTAAAATCGACATCACCATCGAAATCTGAAACAGTACCTGAAACTGGAATTATGTTATCTATATTGTGAAAAAATGTTCGATTACTTAGATTTGAAACTGTTAGAACTGGACTATTGTATTCGTAATTAAATGTTTTATTACCTGAAACACATTTATTAGTATTGTCACAGCATTTAATGATAAGTTGATGTTCTCCAGACGAAAGATTATTAGGAATAGGAATGCTGAGTTCAAAAGGATAATTAGAATTGCTCTTGATATTAACTTGACTAGTGTAATTTATGCCTTCAACAATTGTTCCTGTAACTGTGATATTGTCAATTATGTCAAAATCTGAAACGCTTCCTGAAACCAAAATTACACTATCATTTTTGTGTACATATCTGTCTTTGTCTGTATGAAATTCCCTTAGAATCGGAAAGTTTCTATAGAATTTGAATAGCTCAGATTTTACTTTTATGGATTTATTATCTGATTGGGCCCAGACTTCCAATATATAATTGCCTTCATTAGATATTGTTTGTGGAAAAGAACAGTTTCCAGAAAAACTAAATGTGTGATTTGAATTCCATGTTATTATGCTATGAAAGTTAGCAAGTTCATTTCCAATACTACATCTGAGATTTAAATCTGATGGACAAATTCCCCTTCCATTAATTTGGATACCGCTATCTATAGTTTTGTTGAAATGATTTTGTTTGAGTTTTTCTAAAGTCATAGTTAAAGGTATTTCATAATAAAATGCTATTGAAACTGTATTTGATTTCAGATTATCTGTATATAATATGTTGCAGGTAATTAGATGCTCCCCGTTTGATAAATTGGGAGGAATGCCAATGGGAAATGAAACTTTATTAGTAAGTTTTGTTTCTATATTGGATGTATAATTCATATTATCAATTCTAATTTTAAGTTGATATTGTCCTTTAATGTCTTGATCAAATTCAAGAGTGATAGTGATATTTATATCTTCCCCAAATATTTATTTATTTTTATCAATTGAAATACCTTTCAAATAAATTAATTGGTAATCTGCATAGCAATGCGCTGTAACAAAATGTGCAATGTCAATATGTTTTGGATTTGTAACGTCGTTATTTATAATTACATTGCCAACATTTTTTGTTGTGAAATATCTATTGTCTAGGGATGCGTTAAACACGCCATTTGACCGGGCGTACATTTTTTTTGTTCGCCCAAAAATTTCGCCATTTGAGAAATTCAAAAATTAAAAATCAAATCTTAATCTTGATTTTTTTATTTTCGTGATTTTTTTGAAACTTACATAAGCGATGAAATACTTTTTTTTAAGTAATCGTTTATTATATATAAATATATCTTAATAAATTTAATTCCTTAAGGTAGAGCGTGTTCAAATTTAAAATCTCATACAATATTTTCTTAATGGCGTATTTTTCTGAGGTCGCCCAAATAAAGGCGAATTCAAAATTGAGAACTCCAAGGCGTATGGCGAGTATTCAAAAAGTACGCCACTTACAAAATATTGAATGTGGATTATCAATTTTTTGGCGTGTTCAATTTCAAATTTTGATATTTATGTTTATTTTATTCAGTATAATGCTAAGAATTAAAATATAAAATTCATAGAATTTTTTCTTTGAAAATATTTTACATTTTTATTAGACCACTCCTAGACTAGTCATCAGGTTCTCCTCAGATCATCCTCAGACTACTCCTTATCAGATTACTCATCATCCTCAGACTACTCCTTAGACCCCTCCTCATCAGACTACTCCTCAGATCTTCCTCATAAGACTCCTCCTCAGATCTTCCTCCTGAGACTACTCTTCAGACTACTCCTTAGAGTCCTCCTCATCAGACTAGTCCTCAGACTACTCCTGAAACTACTCCTCAGATTATCCTCAAACTACTCCTCAGATTATCCTCAAACTACTCCTCAGTCTAATCCTCAGACTCCTCCTCAGATTATCCTCAAACTACTCATCGGTCTAATCCTCAGACTCCTCCTCAGATTATGCTCAGATTATCCTCAAACTCCTCAGATTATCCTCAGATTATCACTTTACATATATATATCGATAACTAAATAATTACTTATTATACTTTCTTTATTTTTTTTTAATTTTAAAATAATATTAATATATCTTTCTACGTTTAATGATGAAAAGAGAAAGAGGAGTAAAAAGAGGAAAGAGAAAAGAAAGAGAGAGAAAAAAAAGAGAAAGAAAGAAAGAAAAAGGACGGTGATAATTTTGTATTGTTTTGTTATTCGGCCGAATGGCGGGTACGAAGTAGCCGCCATTCGGCCCCAAAAATGGCGTATTATTCTATTTTTAAACGGTCATGGCGTAAAACCGTCGCATCCCTATCTATTGTCATATTTTTGAACGAAACAAGAAAAAATGCCAATAGATGATGATTGAGTATCTGCATAAAAAAGTGAATAACCTTCATTACTGGCGAAAACACTATCTCGTATAATTACAATTTTTATTGAATAAATAACTCCATTAAACTTGTCTGTTTCAGATTTTGAGCATTTGTTTGAAATAATATTACAATGAGAAATATTTGTTCGGTAATCAAAATGACGTAAGCAATTATTATGAGTAGCTGTGTTGTTTGCAAAATTTGAATATAAAACTCTAGCATCTATAGTATAATCTCCTCCAATATTATAAACAGAATTATCAGAGTTCGTAAATGAATAAGAAATGTTTACATTTTGAATAATATTGTCGCCATAATGTTGTAGTATTGGTCCGGTATCACCTTGACTTTCAGTGATTGTCGATTCATTTAAGTAGTTTTTATATATTTTATCGCGAAGTGTAGAAATGTATGAATGTGGGTATTTTGCAACGCCTCTAGAATTAATACTGCAGACACGATACTGAACGCACTGACCGGTTTGTTGGCGAATATTTCCGCCCCAGACATTACCATCAGAAATGGAATTTGAATCAAAAACGCAATTAGAGATTAAAGTTACATAATCATTATTTTGTTCGTCGTAGATATTGATAATTTGACTAGTATGGCCTGTAAAAAATACATCATGAACGTGAATTATTTTTGCATTTGTTCGAAGAACTTGATTCGATGTATGTTCGTATGGAGACTGTCCGCTGAAGTATGATTCCCAAATATCATTTGGAGAGCTAAGTACTAAATGGTAAAATATCAACTGTATAATTTTAAGGGTAAAATTTGAAAGCCTCAGAAAATTGAGAGAATTTGGATTAAGAAAATTTAAAAACAATTTTTAAATTTGCTTGTGGATGTAATGAATCTATCACCAAAATCAGCATAATATAGTAATCTAAAGCACCATTTCAAAATTCAAGTTTGCAAAACAATTTTTTACAATAATAACAAAGGTGACTAAACTCCTTTCGCCGATCCGATTTGCTCCATATTTAAAATATAGCTTGCATATGTAGAAGAAAAGCTAATTTTGAAGTACGCCCGAAATCCACCAACAGGATTTCGAGCTACTAAAAAGGTACTTTTAAATGTGATTTTTTTTTATAAAAAATTAAATTTATTTTAAGATCAGACTAAAAACTAATTTTATGGAAAATCTATATCGACAAATTTATTACTTATTGGGTATATAGATTTTTTGATTATGGCGATTATGTCTGATATGCTTCCAATAAGCCAAAACACATTTCATACTGATTTCTATAAAAGGTATCTTTATTATAGAAGTGTAAGCTATATCTGTTTGTTTTTTTATTATAACAAATTCAAAATTCTCTTATAAGGACTAGATGAAATCTGTATTATTAAATCATTAGCTAAATGAAGGTTCAAATAGAAAGTAAATATCAATTTATATGATACTGAAACCAAATAGTTCTTTTAATAAAAGATAACACGCTGAAAATTATTGAGTATTTGCAAATCTCAAAAATCTATTGGTGAATTTGGCTCAACTTTTAAAATTATAACATCCATATCAAATCATAAAAGCAGACAAAAATTAAAGCCAAACCTATCGGCCAATTTTTTTTTGATATTTTGATTTTTGAGGTATACTTTTAAAAGTGGATTTAAAGCACTTATGAAAAAACATTAACTTCTGTCGTTATGATTATTGATTTAGACAATAATGATTTTAATCTTTGATTATCAAAACACTAAAGTCATCTTTTTAACATTTGCTTGGTAGCATTAACTCAAGTCTAAAGTACTATTTTATGTGGCACTCTTAGAATTTTTGTATTCATTGTACACGCTGAAATAGTACCATTAAAGTTATGGCGGACTTTCAAAAAATAGTTTGGTCACCTTTATAATAACTGGAATTACATTCTACCTCTTCAAAAGCATTTCATCCTTGACATATTTTGTACGCATGACCAAGTGTTAATAGAAATTTCTATTCTATACTTAATGTCTTAAAAAAAATGAAATCAATAAGATCTGTTTTCATTTTGATATTCAAAAAAGATTATTAAGAATAATTTCATGATAGTATTTAGTATAGAGAACAACAAAATCATATTTCATTTACAAAAAAGAAATATTCGTGTTAATATTAATAGTAATATTATCATTTTTAAGCGGAAACGCTTCGGATTTAATATTCAAAATGCGAACATTAGTTCCAGCAAGTTTGAAAGGTTTTTCAGGAGGATGAAATCTGTAATCTTCAAATCTAAGAGGAATCCACATCTTTTCTCTCCAGTCTAGAATACTATTATATCTAGAAACATCAGGAGATGGATCAGTACATATATTTTTATTAGTTAAATCGATAAAAATTTTTTCACTTGTGAGATAATCGGTATTTTTGAAATCAGATCTAATAAAGTCTGAAGATATGCTTAGTTCTGCAAAAAAATACTGCTCTGGTGTATTTCTGAAGTCAATAATAGAAGTAATGATTTTTCCGTTAATAAATTCTAATTTGAAATTCGAAAGTAAAGTATAAAACATCTTACCTATTTTACACTTCTCCAAATCTTGTAAAATTGGACAAATGTGTTGTTTATATTCGAATTCTATGCGTTTATCTGTTTTATCTTCAATAGAAAAGTATTCCGGCCAAAATTTAATTATAATTGATGCTCTTTCTTGATATGTATCGAAGTTTGGTGTGAGAATATTGAAGGATTTAAAATCGTTGTCTGGCAATGACTCCAAGAAAAATGTTAATCTGTCAATATATGGCTGAACATCTAGATTTTTATAGCTTCCGTTGTCTAGATTTTGTCTAACAATTTCGAATGATGATTTAAAAACTTTTTCGTAAATGTCAGTAGACATCATCTGCTCAGCTTTAGATTCGTTAGTTTTATGGCTGGCATTTCCATTCATAAATCCAACCCTCTGCCAAGAACTCATCAAAACTTGACACTTTTTTCCCCACAAAGTGAAATTGATTGTTAACTCATCATATTACAAGTATTCAAGCATGATCCATTATAATATGATGGCTTATTCTGGTTGAAAAGACTAAAATATGAGGAAGGGAAATCAGAGAGTAAAATATCAATAATATTGCATTTAAATCTTCTAAATTTGGATAATATCTCAGAACATCAAATCAACTTATTCTCCACAGTATATGCAACATATTCTCTTGTAGAAGTCCTTATGCAAACTGTCTGTATGAATATATCTCCACCTTGTTGGCCTTTCAGGAATTATATATATATAATCCAAATCTCGTTTCCCATAAACGCTAGATTTTTTACCTTAAGATATATTTCCCAGCACTTTTCTCGATCTTTGTTTAATTATAAGATCAAACTTATTTGAGATATTTAATATGAAAAAAACTTTTGTTTGAGTATTATATCAGTATATATTGCATTGTAACAGAATTTCTCCAATTGAGCTTAATTCTTACTGCAATTTTTTTTTATTTTGAATGTCATTCCTGCTAGTGTTATGCAATAAAAAGCATTCGGAATGGAATATGATGTACAAGACACATGTTTGAAGAAATTATTGAGAAATTAGATCACCCCCATATTGACAAATTGTTAGTAAAATTAATTTTTATGCTAATTAATATACATTTTTGTCGTTATAATTTCGCAAAATGAGGCAGTCTCGTGTCAAAATTTAAATTTTTAGATAAAATATAAGAAAATTATAAGATATTTCATTTGATTCAAACTCTAAAACGTACAGACGAATTTTTATTTTCTCTGCATAGTATGCTTTATATTTGTCCATACTATCTGCCATTTTAACCACATCGAAAAATTAATAACAGATTTGAAGTGTCAGTACCTTTAACTTATTTCATATTAGGTTTAAATTGAATGGCCAAATAGGATTGAATAATAGACCATTGCTCTATATAACTTCAAATAATCTCATATATAAGGCATAACTTTCATATTTTCATTTTATATAAAATGATAAAAAGATTTTTATAGGAAAATAAAAAGGTATTTTAATGTAATAAAGAATAATTAGAATTCATTTGATAAACTATCAGCTAATTTTCTATTATTTTCTTCGATTTCTTTTGGTATTCTGAGGAATTCGACAGGATCCTTTGCGAGGTTACTGAAGCTCTTCAAGTAATTTGCAAAAGATAGACGACAGTTGAATAAACGCTGGAAAACTGTGGAAATGTATTTCTTTTCTTTCAAATTCTCATGAGAAACAGGATTTGGTTTATATATAATGAAGTCATACATTGTATCGAAATAGAAAACAGCATCATTGTATTTAATACCTTTATTCGGATCTGCGTTCGTATTCAAATTAATTAAACAGGTACTCAACACTGTAAATGCATTTTCAAGGCATTCCTTAGTTTCTCCATTCTTAAAAGGACAATCTGGTTGGAATGTGGTAGGAGGATCATTTTCTGCATTGAATTTGAAGTTATTAAGAACATTTTCACGAGATTTCATGAACTTCAGCTCAATTATTGCTACTAAAAGTGGATAGTAGACTGGAATTTCGCTTGCAACAACGTCATTGTGGAATTCCAAGAAATCTGCGATCCAAGAATCGGAATTAAGATCATCCTTTGTAATTAGTTTGCTTCTGAGGGTATTCATGATTTTTCCGATCGATGCATTGATACCTGTTTTGAATAAATCCAGAATATTTTTCCTGATTAAGTTATAATCAGTTTTGAGTTTATTTTTCTCTGAAGGAATAACTTTGTGAATGAAGTTTCTTAAAAGGGAAGCTTGGTATTGGTCCATATCCATCTGTAAGTTGTAAATCGATTCTTCAAGTTGATCTAAGATCCTTTTATCTTCTTTTGATGACTTTTTGATCTCTTCAAAGTTTGTTCCGATCACTTCTACCGGATACTTAACGATGTAGAGGTTTTTATGATCTGGTTTCTTAATTTGTTGGTCAAAGAGGATCGAATAGTCTGTCTGTGATATTAGGTTGATGCAATATTCAGCTGGGAATATATTTCTGAAGCTGGGAAGCTCTGTGTAAGCTTTTCCGATTTCATCTTTTACTGCATCAAAAATTTCTCCAAAATTAACATCAGCAAAGTTGTCAACATCATTGTACTGCGAATGGGCGAATTCTTCTATAAGATTTGGCAAAAAATTATTTACAAAGAATTTTTTCTTATTCTCATCAGTTTCGAGGAGTTTGTAAGCCTTGATGTTATAGTCCGTAAGGTAGGAGAATGATTCTATAAGGCTTTTCGAAATTTTGACTTGTTTGAAATTTTCGTCTGCAACACTAGTAAAAGAACAGATGCTTTGGAATACACTGTAGATAAAAGATGAATTGTTCATCCACATTGATGCAATAAGATCAGGTAAGTTTGGATGATTTAAATTCATCTCCAAAAATTTCAAAGATTTCGCAGATGGTTCGTTGCAAATATTGTATTGGCATAATGCTGGGAATGTCGACCAAATAAATGACTTTCTCTTTAATTCATCGCCTGTATCTGAAAAAATTTCAACGAAATGCTCTTTGAGCTTTTCAAGATCGATTAAGCCTGTATTAAGAAATTGACCTTGAATACTAAAATTGCATTTTGAGGATTTGAGACCTAATTTAGTACAATTCCTGTAATAAGAAAGGAAAAATCCATTAATTGCTTGTTTAACAACAATGTTCGACACTGTAAAATGAAAGCCTTGAATTACGCGATCTATTGGTTTTATTAACTCTGTCATTGACGGGAAAAATGCGAAATTGTTGGAAATATTATTCTTTTCAAAATTGATAAAATTGTTAAAAATCAAAAATAATAATCAGTTAAGAGCAACATTTAAAACCTGCTAATTAAAATTTTGGTGAGATAAAAATTTATAAATTTTCCAAAGAATATTCACCTTTCTGACACTTTTTAGGGGTGATTATCTTACTAAATATCATATCTATAAGGGTTAGTTTCACCAAACAAGGCTCCAGAAAGGACTTTATCGCTTCAAAAACAAATAATTTTATCAAATAAAATAAGATACTGTGAAATCTTTATAATTGAAACAAAATGTGCTTATGACGAGACATATATCATATGACCTCTTGAGTTAAAAACAATATTTTCATATATTTCATCAAACTCTTTTTGAAATAATAAAATATTGAATGCTTTGACTGAAAAATCATCAGTAGTTTTCATAAAAATCCCATCAATATGATCTACTACATCGAAGTACCCTTTATATCTAAGTATTCTTAGAATTAGAGGATCAAAATTAAATTGGCTCAAAATGGAATTATTCTCTATTAAATCTTTGAAGATCTTCTCTAACTTTCGTTTATGTTTGAAATGAAAGTCAGTCTCAAGGAGTGGGATATATTTTGGGCTTATTTTGATATCAATTTGACTTATGTTAAATTCAGGAGGTATTGGGACGTTAAAATATTTGTGAGCAACATATATATTCCTTGCTAATGAGATATCATGAAATCCATGTATTTTCAAAGAATTTGAAATTATTGATTCTGCTACTTTCTTATAAAGTTCATTATGAGTAAGAAAGTATAAAGAATACATTTCTAAGTATCCTGCTGCAGTGTCCGAGTAAGAAGACTGAGTTTCAAAGATATTTGTTTTGCATTTTTTGTTTTTGAGATTTATCAGTTGACATTTATATATATTTCCTTTTGATATGTATAATATCTGCTGTGCAATATCTATTGCCAAATTATAAAAATATCTCTTACCTGTTAATAAATAAGAAGAAAGAAAAGGAGCAAGATATCTTTCTATTAACGTTCTTGTTTTCATCCACGATAACTCCTGCGAATTATAGAATGATTTCAAAAATAATTGAATTTTTTCTGTTGATGTTGTATTTAGTAGAATAATCAAAGGTAATGATTCAATAAATTTTGGCATTTCTTCGATAATAGCATTCTTATTGAGCATTTGTTGAAAATCTGTAATCTTTATTAAAATCGTATTGTTAATTGTTGTAAATAATGGATAAATCAGTAGCTTTGATCGAACGGAATTTAAGTCATGGGAAAATGGTAGTGAGTTCTGATAAAAATTATAATATGGAAAGGGTTGTTTTAAAAATAGGAAGAAATTGATATAGAAGTAGAAAGAAATGAGTATAACTATAAGATGTACTGCACATTTTTTGATATTCTTTCTGCTTAATCTAAAAAGGTGATACAAATTCGATCAGATTCAACCTAAAAAATGATAAAATTTATTGATTTTGTGGTTGATTTTAGATGTCCAATAACAAGGTTTCATGATCATTTATTAATTTTAATCAGATGTGATAAAATTTTGATCAAAGTTTTCAAATAATCTATTTGAGACATTTGTTTCCTATCAAAAATGTTATCCTAATAAGATTAATGCTATTTACTACTTCCTTTTATGTTATTATTTTTTCAATGATTAGACGTTTATTATCTCAAAATGGATGATTACTTCGAATATTCAACAGATGTCTTTATAAATTCAATTAAAATATTAAACAAAGGAATTATAGGTCAGGATGTTTTGATTAAAATCGGTGATACACAGCCAATTGTTTTTGGAGTAATCAATTCCAAAGTTCAAGGAAGAGCTACAATAGATTTTTCTCAAGGATACCATGTTAACATCAATACATACAGAAAAACCGTTCCTAACAAAATTTTACTTTACATATATATAAAATCCGAAGATACTGTTTTTGTTGGAGGAGTAAATATCGCTCCTTTAGTTCAAGATTCAATTTCAAGACGTGGTACATCAGCTATTGCTAAGGAATCTCTAAAATTGAAAAATGAGATTGAAAAAGATGGAGCATTAGTCGTTTTTAAAGTAAGAGTTGAAGTAAAGAATATACCCCCAGTACATGCAAAGAAAGATCAGACTGACAGAGCTGTTCCAATGCGTGCTACTGACTTTTTCAGGACAAATCAACAATATCGAAAAATGGCTGCCGATTTACAAGCACAAGTTCAATACTTACAAGCGAAAGTTAATAAACTATCGAATCATCAATATCAAGCACCTCCAGAGGCTGAAAGACCACAATCACAACAAAATAATCAGAATTTCAATGCAACAACATCATCACAAAATTCACAGACACCTGAAATTAGATCATTTAGAAGGACTAGACCACCCGTTGATATGGAATTTAATGAACAGCCAAGATCCAACAAAAGACCAAGATTATTCTCCACCGTATCAAGTGAAATGCATGATGATTCAGCTATCTCAGCTATCAGAGGTGGAGATAGTGAACCAGATACTGATGATGTTATAGGAAGCGGTGATTCCGATGCAATGTTGGAATCTGATGAATCTCCAATTATTGGAAGCGACGACGAAATAAGTGAAGATTCAATTGGTGCTTCAAGTTCAAGTATTGGTTCTGATACAAAACCTAAAAAGAAGAAGAAAGAAGATAAATCTTTAATTTCAGACCTAGATATTGATAATATTGATAGTATTTCATCTGATTCAGATAATAAGAAGACCAAGAAGTCAAAGGCATCTAAGTCATCAAAAGCTTCCAAGAAATCACAAAATTCAGATATTGATATTGAATCAGATTCATTTGATTCACCAAGTGATGAAAAGATCTCATCATCAAAGAAGAAAGTAGCAAGTCCTCCTCATAGCGATTTTGATTCTCCAATTGATTCAATTGATAGTTCAGATCATGAAATGAAAGAAAAGAAATCAGATAGTAAGAAGGAAAAAGCTAAAGAAAAATCGGATGCCTTTTCAAGCACAAGTAATTCATCATCATTTGATGCAGTTGATATTGTATAAATTGATTTCCAATTTACGTTAGTATTTTATAGTTTGTTATATTGTTTTTGTTTATCAGTAAACTTAATTATATTCATATTGTTAATACCGCTCCTCAACAAGCTTTGTTTTTTTTGATCACTCCTAAATATTTTTTCTGGACTTAAATACCTGGTGATCAATTAACCAATTCAGCCAAAAGCTTAAAAAGTTTGAAATTTTAACTACAGAAGTCTCAATTACCGTTAAACAATCGAACATTCTTAGAAAATCTTTATCAGATGAATATATTTCAATGAACCCTTATGGACCAACATATTAACACTAGATATTATGACTAAACTCATGAAATGAAGTCTATCTATAGAGTCTGAAATGTGACATTAATTTTGGAACTAAAATGAGTCAAATCTCTATAGTTCAAATGTACACAAGCAATCAGAATGAAGCAAAACAATACATTAAGAAATCACTAGAAAGTTCTGATGGGAAATCACTCGGATTTCGCAAATTATTTGAACTTATTTTTATCTTTTACAGAAATCATTCAATACCGAATGCTTCGCTGTTTTAAACGAGATTACCACAACAGATAAAATATTTAGCTATTTAGATTCAGTTAAATTTCCTCAATTTTATTCAGAATTTTTCGATTTTCCACCATATGATCTCCTTTACATAGTTTCTATCATTTTCCAGCAAAGCCAGAATGTTCAACCATCAACATACTTATACACTCTCTTTAATTTCTACTTAACTTTCTATGAATCATTATTAAAATGCGTAAACTCACAAGATATCATACTCAACGACGAGTTTAACATCGAATCAAGGAAGAAAACGTTTGATAGTGCATGTTCAACAATTTTATCAAAACTTTCCATAATTGCAAGCTCTATTTCAGCAATCTACCTCGGAAAAACAGATAAAATGCTATTCTCAAAGTTTGTCGATAACTTGCTTACTACCAAATCCTACCTTTTCCATGATTCTAATTTTTCATGCATAATTGGAAGGATGTTACTCAGTTTGAACAAATACCATCAAGCTCATGAGATATTTAGCTACATAAGTGACATCAAAATTCTTTCATCTAATCAACCTTATATAGATTTCTTTAGAATGAATTTCCAGTCAGCAGCAAATGGATTTGAACAATCAAAAAATCCAATGAATAAGATGAATCAAGTTGTTGCATACATTTATTCCGGAAATATTAAACAAGCTGTTCAATTATTTAATGAAAAGGTGAAAGAGTTCCCAGCTCTTAGACTTTTCAACAGTGTTAGAGACTTATCCCTATTTTTGCATGATTTATGTAGCGAAACTGAAGTTATCAAGGAAATCCAAATTTCCAATTATCCTCTCCTTGATGAGAATTAGCCAAATCATACGACTAAACTGTTTGTTATTTTCTATTATATTTACAACTGTTTGTAATTTCAATTTGATAATTTCTATTACATAACTCTTCCTTTTTGCAATTTTTTAATGATTTTAACATCAGTAGATATCACTTAAAACAACTTAACCTTGCCGTTATTTTTTTTTTACTATTCAAAAAAATGTCGAATAGAATTGTCGGCAATTACTATCACTTACAAAAACAAATTGGTTCAGGTAGCTTTGCGACATTGTATGAAGGAGAAGATATAAGAGATGGTACAAAAATAGCTATAAAATTAGAGCCATTAAATTCAAGTTATCCCCAATTAAATTTTGAGTCTAAATTATATACATTATTTTCGGGCTCCTTCCAAGTTCCAAGAATGCATCTTTTTACTAAAGAAAGTCGTGAAAATGCAATGGTAATTGATTTATTAGGTCCAAGTCTTGAAGATTTATTCAATTTATGCGGCCAACAACTTACTATTAAGACAGTATTAATGCTTACAGATCAAATGATTAATGCTGTTCAATTCATTCATGAAAAAAGTTTTATTCATAACGATATTAAACCTGATAATTTCCTTATGGGACTTGGATCCAACAAAAATCAAGTTTACATAATTGATTTCGGTCTATCGAAGAAATATCGTGATCCAACTTCACATAAACATTTACCTTACGAAGAAGGACGTTCCTTAACAGGTACTCCTCGATATGCCTCAATAAATGCATTAAACGGAATACGGCAATCACGTCGCGATGATATGGAATCATTAGGATACGTTTGGCTTTACTTATTACGTGGATCTTTACCATGGATGGGAATTAATGCAAGAAATACAGATCAAAAGTACTCCATGATCATGGAAGCTAAAGCAGGTATATCTCCAGAAGACCTTTGCGCAGGATATCCTAAAGAATTCGTTGAATACTTCAAAGATGTAAGAAATCTTAAATACGACGAAGAACCACATTATGCAAAATACAGACAACTATTCAGAGATGCATTTATTCGTTACGGATACAAGTTTGATTACAATTATGATTGGCTTGATTCTCGTGGCCGTCTTATCATGCAGAAAACACCAAGAAAGTTCCCAATATTTGTTCGTGACCCACCCTCACCAAAGAAATCAGAAAATCATGGCCCTGTTCCCACAAAACTCCAAATGTACAAAAAGATTTCGGAAGAAGCAAAGAGATATGAAGAGATACCAACATATGTATCTGAGGATGAAGAGAAGGGAAGCGAAACACCAACTTTAATGTCCAGTGACTCAGATGCGCCAGAAACATATGAAGCAGTCGTATCAGATTCAAAGAACAAGACATTTGATGGATCAAGTGACAGTGAAACATCATCCGATAACATTGTTAAAGTTATTCCGGCTAATTTCTCAGGATCTACTGATGAATGGAAGAAAGAACCGAAATATACACCAAGAAGACAACCATTTAAGATGCCTAAGGTTGATCAAACAATTCCAAGATGGATGTTTACTAACTAATTTAACTTTTTTTTAAATTGTGTTTTTTTTTGTAAAAATTCTTGTTTGAATAAAGAGATTTTATATTTCAACGAACTTATACATATTCATTCTTTGATTACGAATACTTTTTCCGAGTGGATGAGAATTCTACGAAGCACGTTTTGTTTGACATATCTGGTTTAAAAAAAATTGTGAGATAATTTTCAATTTTCAATTTTGGAAACGTGCAGATATTGAGACAATTTATCCATAAATGATCTGAAATATAAACTCATCAGAATAGCTATTCTTGTTGTAAACAGAAATTCATCAAAAGTGACACCTCAGAAAAGCTAAAATATTGAATTTTTGGAACTTTTGATAGAGCACGTTTTTAAATATTAATTAAAGTAAATGTATATTTTGTAAAGATTCTTTTTAATAAAAAAATAAAATTTTGAAGAAGAACACAAAATCTTCTGAAAAATAATATCACATAAACTCATATTATTTTCTAATATATAACTATTTTATATAAAAATCAAATTCAATGATCTTAAAAGCGAAGGATAGTAGTATATATGACGGGTTGTGTGACTTTTTTTGTAAACGTAAGAATTCATACAATATAGAACGATTTTGTATCATTTTTTAACATATGAAGTAAAAAATGTATGATTCTTACGGTTTTTATTCTTACGTTTTTGAATAAATCAAGATTTAAAAAATTTTCAAAATTGTAAGACATTTACACTCAACCCATAATGAAATAAAAGATAAAAAAAATTAATTTTAAAAGAAGCTATATATAGATGATGTCAGATATTCCGCGATTAATTAAACATTGTTGAATAACTGAATGGAATCAAACTTCTTACGAAAAATTAAAACTTAGTTATGTTTATTATTTTATTTTTTTATTTTGTATGAAATGAGTGTCAAGACTAACGACGTTAAAAAATTAGGATTCACAAACAGGGAAATAAAGGATATATTAGAGGAGGCGGGTTATGAGGTTGATAAATATTATTTAAGAAATTGTCAAAAATTCGCGGAGTTTTTAAATGAGTTTGATTATGATGGAAAAATGAATAAAGATGATGTTATAAATTTCTTATATCCCGCATCTAAAGAAGAAAAACCTAAAGAACCTGATGTTTTCCCTGAATATTATGAAGAACGAATTAAAGATGATGAATATGATGAAATTGAAAGACTGGAAAAAATAAGAGATGAAATAGATGAAAAAATTAAGGAATTAAGAGAAGTTGAAAAATATAATGAAAATGAAAATGTGAAGTAGGGTTTAATGAATATCCCAGCTTCAGAATCAGAAGTTCAGAAATCTCATGAAGAAAGATATAAAAATTATGTCTCAGAATCAACACAAAATTTATTAGATGGTGAAATAGACGAAACACTTTCAGAAGAAGGTACTAAATTTATTCGTAAACATAAGTTACAATTTATTGATAATGAAGAATACCCTTGTATCTTATTTTCATCACCTTTAGATTCCGAAAAATTCAAAAAAGCTCTTAGAAACGTGACATATGCAACTAATACGATTAAGAAAGAAGATCATGATATTTACACAAATTATTATTTAAATAAATGCACGGGTGTTGATAAAGTGTTTGATTTATTAGATAAAATATCAAAAGAAACCATTGGAACATATAAAATTTTATGTGATTGCGGTTTCATTGTTGAAGATACCAATAATGTTTCATATGAAAGAACAGCACCGAAGGAAGACGAAGTTGAAAGGTCCATACCATTCGTTATTAAGAACATAAAAGATATGAAAACGTATAAGCATTATATTTATTCATTTATTTCAGAAAAAATGGAAGCAACCCATAAAACATCTTCTCATCATTTTATAGCTATTCATACATTCCTTTTCAAAGTTGTGAAATTAAATAAGACAGGAATTAGATTTAATGTATCAGGGTACGCATTCTTGAGTAAATTAAAATGTATTCGTCACGTCGCAGATGATAAAAATTTATGTGCTCTTAATTCATTTTATGGGTTTTAACCCTGGACTCTCTGAGTCTCGGACTTTAAAAAATAAACTTTATTTTTATTTATTTTTTAATTTTTATTCTTACATAAATGAACAAAAACGGAACAGCTAAAATGAATGATAATCAAATT